TTTGTAATATTATTATAGGTTTTTGAGAATATATTTAAGAAATTTAGAATTATTTTTTTTTTGATAGCAATAAATTTAGAATGTTAGGAGTTAGAAAAAAGAAAGTTATTGTAGAAGAAATAATAATAAGGGACACATATGTAATATAAACAAAGTAAAGTGATGTAAAGACAGAAAATGAGCTGTCTAACTTTGTCCAAAAAAATCAATTTGTCCAAAAACAAAAAAAAAGACCTGTCTAACTAATATGTTTCGAGAACTTGGCTGGTGACTATTACCTAAGTGCACGACCATTTTAGTTAAATGTGGCCTTATAATTGTTTAAATATAATGTGGCCTAAAGCCAATGCTTCATCTGCTTTACCATAGGGCCGGGCCTGCATGTCACGCATATCTATATAAGTAATACTCAAGTATGTTACCTCATAACCGGCGGTGACAACGCAGGATTGGCACTTGGGCCCGCGAGAGTCGATACGGCACTGGTAGGTGATGGCGACCATATCAGGTTCTTTACCGTAGGCTGACATGCTGAAACCGGCACGGTAACCATACGAATTTTTATCTTCATTCGAAAAGCTTTGGATGATATCATCGAGGGATTTCTCGTAGTCGCTTCCCGGCTTGTATTTCCCTAGACTGACTAAGCATTTGTGCTGGAGATACGAATTGGTAAGGTTTAGTGAAGAAACGCTGCGTACGAGCATGAGTTGCGTGGTCACCACGACCACGATAGCGTATAGAACGAAGCCTTTTGATACAGATGATGAAGAATACATTGTTTTGGATTTATTTTCTATTTTTGTTTCCAAGAGGGGTGTTTTTATATAGATTTTTAGCGTTGAGACTGATGTTATGTAGGAGACTCGGGAGGAACTTTGTGGCAACAAGAAGGCCGACGAAAAAGTAAAAGCTCCTAGGTGTGACTGAGTTCAAACAATTACAATCACACGATTGTACAATGACGACCTGAAATGAAGGAATTGTTGATTTCTATAATTACAAGATTCTTGGTTTTTTTCTAACATGGTCGATTCCAATTTTCAGATTTCATCTAATAGTATATTTAGCATGTTTGTGTGTTTCTATATACTATATTACTAAAGAAAATTGCTTTAATTTAAAATGCTTACAAGCTAGATCCTGCGATAGAACTAAAAGTCTAAATCGGCTTAACGAGGAAAACTCTACAAACAGAAGAAGAGAGGCCACAATGGTTGATCATAGTTGCATATTATATAAAAATGGCCAATCCCATAGAAAATTTAAATTTTATAAGAATTTCAAAATTTATGTGATTTACATCGTATAGTTGGCTATAGTTTTCCCATTTAAATATTCGCTTACTCGGATCGGATTTTCGAGATCCTATAAACAGTTGAATTTGTTCATTTATAGGGAATGTTGGATGCTCGTAGTTAACAGTAGAGCATCAACTAGTTGACTCTTTCATTAAGGGAATAATCGAATCAGACTCCTAATTATGACATTTGGTACAGCTTTGCTTCTCCCACCGCTCCTTACAAAGGTAGCATAGTTAGGATGGTCTCTGGAAGGAAAAAAATGAGTTTGTTCTCTGATATAGTGTTTTAGTCAATTAAATTCCTAATGCACTAATGATCCCATCATTAAAGTACTTAGGGTCGAACCACATAGAGCAATTAATTAATTCATCAAGAATACAGAAGTTTACTTAAATTTAAGCTTAACAAGAGTTTGATTTTGGTTTTCTAATACAAACTTAACTAAACCAAGCAATTAAAATCAAATAATACAAATTAAAGCAAAAGAAAACAATATGCAAAAGACTAACACAATTCAAAATCAAACAAAGTGGTTTGATAATAAAAGACGAAATCCCGGGTTAAGGTATTCGATAAAGATGATCAAGACATGATTTATGGAGCTTAATACAACTCCTAACAAGTGTGATCCTTAGGTAATAGATCACCAAACAAGACTAATTCATTTCCATGATATTAATCCCTTTACTTAACATCAACAATTTCTAAAGGCAATCAAATGATCAATAAGCATCAATAACAAGTCTATCTAACCATTAATCACCCTAGTCAACAATTTCTAAAGATAAAGAATGAAAATTCAAAAATTAATTATATAGAATCGTTTACTTAACTGATAGAAATTTACTTCAACTACATCATATATATTTTACTAAATAATAGAAAAACAATTCACCTTAAATAACGGGAAATTTGAAGTTAAAAGAAAAGAAAAATATTCTAAAAGCAACATAGTCAAATTGCTTTAGAACTTGGTATAGTAAGGACCCTTGGGGTTGATAAAAGGGTAAAGCTCATACCTAAAGTTACAGCTTCTACTCAAAACTCGTACTCCTTGTTTGCTTTTCCAGCAATTTTGAAAATGCACTGTATAATATGTCATACACTCATTACAACCCTGAACAGATAAGTCACCAGAGCACTGCACCATTCCGTACAGATTATTCTTCCCGAGTCTCCTCTCCCCCGCCGCATACAGTACTGCTTTTTTTATACCTTTTATGTTTCTATCTATTTTCGTGACGGCCATCTCTGTCAGATTGTCGAGGAGACGCAACCTTTCTTCAAAAGAAATCGAATCGCCGATCAGGTTTTTCGTGCTGGGCATACAGAAGTTGTCGTCGTAATTGATCTGCCCAAAAGTATCTAACGAAGAAAAGTCCACAAGACATTGGTCGTACCATATTATTGCCCCTTTATCTCTCGGACATCTCTTACGAAGAAGCTGTCATAGACATTTTTCAGATCAACGCCACAATCCATATCAACATTGCATGGACTACTTTACATAGTATAAGATATATAGTCTCTGCACGCATGTTTATACATTATGTAAAAGCTAGCTTATTAGTAAGGGTGAGTAGGAAAAATAGTCCGTTTTGAAGACTTAATATGGAAAGTAGCCACTTTACTATTTAAAATTAGGAAAATCATCACCTTTCTTTTTTTTTTTTGTCGTCTAGATTTATTATTAATTGCAAATTATGAGAAATCATCACCTTTCATTGTTCTTTTTAATAAATCTTTCGGTATAATAGAAGAAAAATCTTGTCGGCTTTAAAATTTAATTTTTCTTTCTTTTTACACTCTCCCTCAAATCTAATAATTAAAATACACATCATTGTAAATTTATTTTCTAAAAACTTTGAGGTACATAAAAATCTTTTTTTCTCTATAATTTGGTATACATTTTGTTTGATGATTTCAAATATATTACACACACATTTTTATCTGTAAAATTAATTAAGTGTACAAATGTATAGAGATTTACACATTTTTATCTGTACAGCTTATAAATGTACATATTTACTAGGATCGGACCCGCGGTCCACCGCGGGAGAATATTGGTTTACATATGTTATGTTTAATATTGTGTGTGTTTTTTAGTAGAACGAATCGTGTAGTATACTTATAAATATTCATAATAACGAATTGTAGAGAAAATATAAAATTGTTTATAAATATATCCATCGTAATAATTATGATTTACAAAATAGAATTTTGTGTTTTAAAATTCTAAAATTAGACGATTCATGGGAATTAGAGCAGTCAAAATAGGTCAAAAACCGCGGGTCCAGCCCACATCATCTCACTATGGGGCAGATTTGGGAAAATATATTAAACCCGCAAATAAGCGAGCCACATGGATTAATTCGCAGTGGGTCATAGGTTTAATCGGTTTTCATCCGCGGGTTGGCGGATCAGCCCGCATATTAGTATTTATTGATAAAATTATAATTTATTCAACATGTGGTAATTTAAACAAACTTTTAATAGTATTTTGATTTATTTATTTATTTTAGTAGTATTTTAAATTTTGGTTACTTTAAAATTATTTAAACAAAATCCATGGACAATCCCGCAAATCCGCATACATTCGCGGGACGGGTTTGTATTTCTTATATGCTCCCCACGGGTCGTGCGGACCGACCAACTACAAGTCAAAATATTTTTTGTCTATCGCAAAATAGACTTAACGGGACGAATCAACTCGCTTTGACAGTTCTAATGAGAATATTATTTAGTCATACAACAAAATGAAGTTTAGACATAGTAATAATAGAATATGTATCTTATTTGTTAGATGAGAGATTGAAAGATGAAGTATAATGATTAAAAATTAATTATTATTTTTCATGATTCACAAAATTTAATAAATACTTATCATCTTGTTGAATAATTCTAAAATCATATTCAAGAAATCTTTATAAATTGAAAATTAAACTTCTTTGGTAAGCTATAGGTATGAAAATATCATAATTTCGATTTAATCTAATTAAATTAAAATTAGTTACATGGATTTCATATTTATTTAATTTACACAACCAAAATAAAAATATCTATTTAATTTACACTACAAAAAGAAAAATATTAATTTAATTTATAAAACAGATGGGTTATTTATGATAAATTTTCTAGAAATCTTTAGAAGCAAGTAAAATATCTTTCAATTAATGATAATTGGCTAAAATGAGCGAAATTAATGACAAAAACGTTGATTGTTATGAAATTAGTCCCAAAAATATATGAACAAATTTAGTATACGTAATTAATGTATAATATTGTTTGGAATATGTTTTTATTATTAGTTACCATAAGTACAATCAGATTCTATTTGATTTACATAAATATTTGATTTTATTTCGATTTTTCATTATTAATTCGAATTTATATTCCAAAAAAATTTCAAAGATCCGATTTCAGAATTTCGGGTCAATTTTCTGATTTTAACCCGACCCATTTTCATTTGTATTTCTCTTTTAATAGTATAGAGATATCAAATATAGAAATATACACATTTTTATCTGTACAGCTTATTTAATGTACATTAAATGAGTGTAAGAATAAAATTGTGTATATTTACTAGATGTTAACACACGGTACACCGCGGGACTAAATATTATTTGATGTTTTTTGAATTATTAATTTAAATATTTTATTTGACATATATGAATTTTTTTATTAATTTAAATGTATATATTTACCGCGGGCCTATATTTTTCTTAAACAAATATTTTTTTTAGGATGATCTATAAATATATGCTATTGTTTTGTTTAATTTAAATGTATAATACACCACAAACGATATTTTATAACTAAAATTTTGAAATTTTAAGTTGTATTTGTTTTGTTAATATTGTTTATTTTGTTTAGTGTTTCAGATTGTATAATTGTATTTTGATTGTTAATTCTAGGATTTCACCCGTAGTATATCATCCTGTATTAATATCGATCCAATGCCGTCAATTCTAAGATTTCACCCATAGTATAAAGTTTAAATATTTATAATGTGTAAACTTCTTATAAAAGAATCAAGATGCGTTTAAACAAATATTAAATTTTAAGTTGTATTTGTTTTGTTAATATTTTTTGTTTTGTTTAGTGTTTAAGATTGTACAATTATATTCTTATTGTTAATTTTAGGATTTCACCCATAGTATACTGTCTCGTATTATTATCGAACCAAACCCGTCAATTCTAGGATTTCACCCGTAGTATAAAGTTTAAAAATCTTATAAATTATGTGTGCTAATGCAGGAATAACAGTAAGTTTAGACAAAAAAAAACTGAATTTATTTTTCAGAAAGCTTCACTCCTCACACTTTTATTACACTCAACTCTACATAATGTTTCTCTCGATAATGACTTAGGGAACTTCAAGACCAGCTCACTACCATGTTTTACTTGATGAGATTGGTTTATATCCCGATGACTTGCAGAATCTCGTCCATTCTCTCTCTAATATCACTTACAAAAACCAACTTAGCTTTACCATCACTTATAAGATCTAATTGTCTCGAATCATCGTCGTTCCAGCAACCAACGTAGCACAAATGCAACTTCGATTGGTAACACTCACTAATCAACATTAGCTTAATCAAATTAGAAAATTTGTTAATGTTCAAAATATGAAAAAAAAAACTATCATAGCTCATCAATACTTTATTTAAGAGACTTAATTACAAACTATCATAAAAACGTTGTAAATACGTTTCAATGCCCGTGCCTTTGATTTCTCAACAAACTCATCATACACTTTCTCATGAACAAATGTCCGAGACCCCGCGCAGCAACATTGTCCCTACAAAAACATTACTCAACACTATCTCCAGAACCAGCTAAGAAAATGAGTCAGCTTAGCTCAAGGTATATATTCTACTATTGACAATACATGGTTGAAGAAGAGGGCAAAGTGTGCAATACGGCCTTATCAATATCAGCATCTTCGAATACGATGAATGGTGATTTCCCTCCAAGTTCCAGAGTTACCGGCTTAAGATTGCTGTTGGCAGCCAATCCAAGTATAACTTTGACTGTATCAGTCGATCCTGTAAAAGCAAGCTGAATCAAAAAAGAACAATGTAAGATAATATAGTTTCTTAAAGAAGTTAAAACCAAGTAAACAAATATCTCTACCTTGTCTACATCCATGTGACTCGCGAGGGCATCCCTTCTGTTGCACCGAATCCAGAAACTATATTCAGAACTCCAGGAGGAAGACCAGCCTATCATAAATTTCACAAGAAACATTGTTACTCATAAAAGTTTTCTTTTCCTAGAGAAGAAAATAAGATAATTTATCGCATGTATCTTACTTCAAGTAAAAGCTTGCCAGCATAGAAAGCCGTGAGAGGTGTTTGCTCAGCGGTTTTAAGGACAGTGGTGTTACCACAAGCAAGAGTAGGACCAACTTTCCAAGCAAACATCAAAAGCGGAAAATTCCCAGGAATGATCTGTCCAGCTACACCTATGGGTTCATGCAATGTTTGAACATGATAGTTTCCATCAACTGGAACTGTTAGTCCATGAATCTTATCCGCCCATCCTACACATCAAAGCAAAACCAAGAATATTCATTCACAGAAATTAACACAAAAGCAAGAAAATTTCACCAGAATTCTCAAGATTTAAGTTCGTTTTATGATACCAGCATAGTAACGGAACAATCTTGCAAACATTGGAATCTCTACGGTCTTGGATTGTTGGTAAGGCTTGCCATTGTCCCAAGTCTCTAGAGACGCGAGTTCTTCGCTGTGTTTCTCAACCAAATCTACAAACCTCAACATTACTCTTGACCTTTCCTGAAACCCAAATCATAACCAAATCATCTGCACAAGACATCAAATATTTAGTATAGTTAAGAATAATAAAACATGAAAGTTCATATAAACATAAACAAAAACGTAATCATTACCATTTATATTGTTTCAAAAAAAGAGAGATAATTATGTTGTCATGAGGAAAAAGGATTGATAGCTAGAAAAGCTTCAAAATATCTGGCATCTGTACAAAACCAAAACACGGAAATTTCAGAGTTCATTTTTTGTATGTATATATAATCAAAGATCACATAAAACGTTCTCAGAGTTTCCTTACTTTCTTTCTCTCTCGGTGTGAAAATGTCTGAAGATGTTGTTCAACAGCCCTGGGACAAAGATTCTTAACACTTGGGATATAAAGAACAAAATCAATAATAAGTTTGAGTTAAGAAACGTCACATACTTGACAGCTTTGGTAATGACATCAAAAGGGTCGGAGCCAACAGCCACAAAAACCAAATGACTCCCCTCGAATTGGTCAACAGTTGGATCACCTTGACCATACAAACCATAAATCTCAGAGATAATCTAACAAAAATTTTAAACTAATTAGTGGATTATATATATTTACAGCTTTCAAGACAAATCCCTAGCTCATTAGCCTCGTTCCCTTGAAGAACAGCTCTAAAATCTCCTTCAAGTATAGGCAAGAATACAACGTACGAAGAAGATTGATCTCCTCCTCATAAATCAGATCCTTGGTTTGCCTCTACGATTAGAAACTGAGTCTCGCAAGGAATCACTTTCCCATTAGTACCCATTCTGAGTTATCCACCATAATTTAACCTGGAAGACACACATAAACCTTAAGTCTCTGCCAAGAAAAAAAAAACATTTAAAACCTAAGCGTCCAGTAATTATTCAACAAATTATGTGAAATTTAACAACAGGATTTGTCTGACAGGGAAAACAACATAACTCTAGTTTGCTTAGGGAGAAGACACGGTGGCTTCCGGTTGATCCGACGTTACGCCGATGACGCGCCGTCGATAACGCGTTTCCTGAAGCTGGAGTAACTAAAACATTCTCCAGAACGCCGTGAAGAACACGGTGACCTATCACCAGCACATACGTGCGGATCTGATATTGTATAACTGAAAAAATGAAATTTTAAAGTTGTTTTGGGATCTGATATAACCGTAGAAGACGTAGATGATAACTCTATTTATAGTGGTTTAAGATGTAGATTTCCATATGTGTTAATTAGTGACGGAAATCTTGCACAAGAAGTATAATATCTCTGTAACAATAGCATATATAGAATAAAATCCCGGATTTATTATAGATGCAAGGAATATGCCATTGATTAAGAATTTGATAGTAATAATTAGTTGAGTCAGAAGATATTAATTGAGATCAAATATATATATTTTTAGATTATATGAATTATAGATAAGGAAATACCAATAATCTCGGATATATATATAGAGTAAATGAGTAATTAGTTTAGATTGTGCAAATATTCGTAACAATTAGATATTATAAGGATTGTTGCCGATTAATGTGGCAAATAATTTAGGGAATATCATTAAACCGAATTGTTAGAGTAGTTATAGTCAAAATATTCGTTTGTTTTTATTACAACATTCTTAAAATTGCTTATCCAAGATCCGAATAGAGTTAAACCCGGGTAAAACCCGGATCCAAATGAATTAATGCAAAAAACCCCTGTAAAAATGTATATGTAGATGTGCATATGTACACTAAATTTGATGTACAAATCACATTAAATCATTTGATTGAGGACTTGAAAATTATCAAAATAGTGTATGATAGTAAAAACTAGGTATTTTGCTAATTTTGAATAGTAAATCGACTACTTTACTATTAGTAATACTCAAATATGTCACCTCAGAACCGGCGGTGACAACGCAGGAGTGGCACTTGGGCCCGCGAGAATCGATACGACACTGGTAGGTGATGGCGACTATATCAGGCTCTTTACCATAGGCCTCCATGCTGAAACCGGTATGAAAACCTTCCGAATCTTTTGAAAAGCTTTGTATGATATCATTGAGGGCTTTCTCGTGCTGGCTTCCCGGCTTGTATTTCCCTTGATTGACTAAGCATTTGTGCTGGAGATACGAATTGGTAAGGTTTAGTGAAGAAACGCTGTGTACGAGAAGGAGTTGTGCGGCCACCACGACCAAGATAGGGACTAGAATGAAGCGTTTTGATTCAGAGGATAAAGAATACATTGTTTTGGATTTATTTTGGTTTTTTTTTTTTTTTTCAAGAGGGAATTTTTTATATAGCTTTTTAGCGTTGAAACTGTGATTTTTGTGTAGGAGACTCGGGAGGAACTTTGTGGCAACAAAAGGGCCAACGAAAAAGTAAAAGCTCCAAGGTGTGACTGAGTTCAAACAATTACAATCACACGATTGTACGATGACGACCTGAAATGAAGGAATCATTGATTTTTTTTTTTTTTTTTGTCAACAATTTTATTAGATTAGCTTATATAAGCCAATTCTGGGGGAAATCGTTGCTTTCTATAATTACAAGATTCTTTCTTCTTTTTTGTCTAACATGATCAATCCCAATTTTCAGATTTCATCAAATTATATATGTATATATATGCTATTTAATCAAGTTTGTGTGTTTCTATATAACATATTTATTAAAGAAAATTGCTTTAATTTATAATGTTTAAAAGCTAGTTCCTGAGATAGAACTAAAAGTCTCAAACAGCTTAACGAGGAAAACTCTACAACAAGATAAGAGAGACCATAATTGTGAAACATAGTTGCATATTATACAAAAATGATCAAACCCACCGAAAATTTAACTTTTATAACAATTTAAAGTTATGTGTTATACGTCGTATAGCTGATTATCTTTTTCTCATTTAAATATCCTGTTACTTGCACTGGATTTTCGAGATCCTCTAAACAGTTGAATTTGTTCATTTATGGAATGTTGGATGCTCGGAGTTCATAATAGAGCTTAGGGTAGGTGACTCTTTCATCGAGGGAATAATACTTATGACATTTGGTATAGCTATGCTTCTCCGGCTGCCTCTTACAAAGGAAGATGACGATACATTGAAGTAGTGCATAGTTAGGATGCTCTATGGAAGGAAAAAATGAGTTTGTCCTCCCGAATACTTTCTGATCCAAAAGTTGAAAAAAATTGTTTTTTTTTTCAAAAAAATTGGTTTTTGAGGATGTCAAACAAAAAGAATTGTTTTTGGGAGAGCGATCAAGACCTCATTTTATTATTTGTTAAAAAAAATGTTGAAAGGAGTACACTTTACTTTCTCAATTCTGTTTATTTTATTAATTATCAATCATTTCAACTAATTACCATGATTAAATATAGATATGTTCTATTTTTCAAGCATATTATGCAATGTTTATCGATTTAATTTATGATTTTCTTTATACAACCAAATTGCTTAAAAGAAACAATTACACAACAAATTCAAAAACTAGTTTAGAATATTTTTTTTAAAGCCTAATATAAATTTATTTTACCTACATCATATGATTTTTTCTAAATAAAATAATTAATATTTGTAAAGTAAAATTCAAATTTAACAAAAAAATCTGGACCAATAGAATAATTGAAATTCCTTGACAATTTGATTATTTAGGACTGCTCTTCTGGTCAACAAAAGGGTAAAGCTCAAACCTAAAGTTACAGCTCCTACCTAAAACTCTAGCTCCTTGTTTTTGTTTATAGCAATCTTGATAATGCACGACATTATGTGACATACACTCCTCACAACCCTTATCAGATAAGTCAAGCATACACTGCACCATTACGTACAACTTCTTCTTCCCCAGCCTCTTCTCCCCAGCCGCATACAGCGCCGGCTTCTGGTTTTTAGTGACGGCTATACGTGTCAAATCGCTGATGAGAACCAATAACGACTTTTCGAAAGAAATCCGATCACCACTAACGTTCTTCGCGCTGGGCATACAGAAACCATCATCGTAATTGATCTGCCCTGTAGTATCGGACGAAGAAAACTCGACAAGACAATGGTCGTACCATATTAGTCCCCCCTTGTCTCTCGGACATCTCTTACGAAGCTGTCATGTACATTTTCCATTTCAACGTCACAATCAATATCAACATTGCATGGACTAATTTAAATGTAAGATATAGTTTCTCTTAAGATGCAATCATTTGACGTGTGTGGGGATATTTATGCATGCACATACGTGACGGCTAATTGATAATATTCAGTTGACGTTACCTCAGATTGGGCGGTGGCAAAACAGGAACGGCACTTGGGTCCGTAAGAGTCGCCACGGCACAGGAAGGTGACGGAGACCATATCAGGTTCATCACCGAAGGCCATCATTGCTGTAACCCGCACGAAAAGCATCCGTATCATTCGACAAGCTTTTGATGATAGCATTGAAGTTTTTCTCGTCCAAACTTCCCGGCTTATATTTACCTTGACTAACTAAGCATTTGTGGTGCAGGTACGCATTGGTCATGTTCAAAGAAGAAACGGTGCGCATAAGGAGAAGTTGTGTTGCCATCACGACCAAGATAGGGACTAAAACGAGGCTTTTTGATATAGAGGATGAAGAGTACATTGTTTGGATTTTTTATTTTTATGTTTTTCCAAACGGAAGTGTTAATTTTTTAGATAAACCGTTGAGACTTTGATTTTGATGTAGGAAACTTGGAGGAATTTGGATATTAAATGGAGATAAGTGATATATAGTTTACAGTTTTTTGTTACCTTATACGAAAGTCTATTGATAAATTCAGTTTCTAGAAGAAATGTTGAGAGTTTGTAACGGAGATGAAAGAAGTTATTTTTATTGGTATTTGCGGTGACAAAAGGGCTGACGAAAAAGTAAAATTTCAAAGGTGTGACTGAGTTCAAACTCTCTCACAACCACATGATTATACAGTGACGACCTGAAATGAAGGAATGGTTAACTTCTATAATTATTAGATTCTTTTGTTTCGGTCAAACATGACCAGATCCCAATATATTTTCACTTTCATCTAATTAGCATACAGGAGTATAACTTAATAACTGCTATGAGTGTTAAGTTTGTGTCTCTCCAGATAAGAAAATTGCTTTAATTTAAATTTTATTTCTTTTTTGATAAATTTGATCATCTAAAATGTTTCAAAGCTAGCTCTTGAGAGAGAACTAAAATAGCTTAACGAGGAAAACTCTATAACAGGAGAATAGAGGCCATAATGGTTAACATAGTTGCATATTATACAAAGATGATGAAGAGTGTAAATTACATCTCATGACACCCATGAGTATTTTATTGCACTCGATGATACTTTGGTGGGTTCAAAGACCCAATTACACTTAATGAAAAATAGTGTTTGTCATGTACTTATATGTCGTTTTAGTTTTGATATACAGAAACAGAATGGTTTAGAATTGAATTTCAGATAGATCTACGTACATTATATATGAAAATACGTTCATTCACATGTATTAGAGTTTTAATGTGATATATGTACGTAGTGATATGTAGAATTTCACATGTACTTACACCACATGTTTTAGAATTTTTCGGTTTTTCTTGTCAACGTTTTAGAATTTCTATATCAGAATTATTCGGAGTACGTACAATATAAATTGTGTATTTTATCAAAGGCAAACGGTATAACTATTAAAAAGTGTCATTTAGTGCAATAAAAACATGAAAATATCATGGAATACAATAAAAGGATAATTCCCTTTATTTTAACTACATCATAAGATTTCTTCTACATAAAATAATTAATTAATGTAAACGAAAATTGATAATTTACAAAAAAAAAAAAAAAAAGTTCTAAAACCTGTATTTTTTTTAAAATTTCATTAACTCTTCAAATAAGAATTAGGACCGGTTTTGGCATTAACAAAAGGGTAAAGTTCATACCTAAAGTTTCATTAGCTGTACAGCTCCTACCCAAAACTCTCGCACCGCGTTTACGTACCACTTTTCCAGCAATCTTGAAACTTCAAGATATTAGAAACCAGACACTCTTGACAAGCCTTAACAGATAAGTCATCCGTACATTGAACCATTCCATACATCTTCCTCTTTGTCCCGATCCTCTTCTCCCCCGCCCCATATAGTGCCGGTTTGTTGGCATCTTTAAAATTTTAATTCTTTTCAGTGATGGCTATACGTGATATATTGTCGAAGAGAGTATCCCACTTCAGTATGAATAGATATGGATTATCTCCCACATTCTTTGCGTTGGACATACAAAAACTGTCATCGTAATTGAGCTGCCCTACAGTATCGATCGAAGAAATCTCGAGAAGACATTGGTCGAACCATATTATTCCCCCTTTATATCTCGGACATCTCCTACGAAGCTGTCATATACATTTTGCATATCAAAGCCACAATCAATATCAACACTGCATGGACTAATTTACATATAAGGTATAGTTTTCTAGTCTGTTATATATTTTAATATCGCTAAGATGTAACCAAAACTGACATGTGTGTACACATATTTATCATGTAAATATTTGGCAGCTAATAAATAATATTGAAGTGACGTTACCCCGGCTATGGCTGAGGCAAAGCAGGAGCGGCACTTGGACCCGTAGGAGTCACCACGGCATTGGAGGATAACGCAGACTAGATCTGGACCGTCACCAAAAGACATCATGTCGTAACCGCTATTGACATTTTCACCAACCGAGATGGAATGGATGATAGCTTCTAGGCTTTTCTCATGCACACTTCCTGGCTTGTATTTCCCTTGACTGACTAAGCATTTGTGGTTTAGATACGAATTGGTCATGTTCAAAGACGAAACGCTGCGTATAATTAAGGAGCACTTGTGTGGCCACCAGGGCCAAGACATGTTTTGATATAGAGTATAAAAAGTACATTGTTTTTGGATGTTGTATTTTTATGTTTTCCAAACGTGGGTGGATAAAGTGTTGAGACTGTGATGTATATGTAGGAGACTAAGAGGGATTTCGATACCTTATAAAATTTTCTTTCAATTAATTAAAGTTTCTAATAGAGTATAGAGTTTGTAACGGACAGGAGAGGGGAATTAGTATTTGCGGCGACAAGAAAGCCGAAGAAAAAGTAAAAGCTCAAAGGTGTGACTGAGTTCAAACTTTTGCAATCACAAGATTTGTACGGTGATAATGAAAGAAATGTTAATTTCCATAGTTACAATTTACAAGATTCTTTGTTTTTTTTTTCTTGGTCAAATATTATAAGGTTCTATATATATATATATATATATATCACTTCTCGTCTATTATTAGTGTTACGTTTCTATGTTTCTAGATTTTTTTTTAATTTTCTTAAAACAACAACAACAACAAACAAATATTGATATTTACAATTCTAAAGCAAGATCATGAGATGCTGAGTTGCAACTTAAACATGTGTTGAATTATTTACTAGATACTGAGTTTATACTTACTAGATTATATTGAATTACGTGAACATTTAGACATATTTCTCCGTCGTGTCGAAATCCAAGTTGGTGGGAAATGTTTTCATATAAAATATATGAACATTCCTCAACCTTCTAGTATCTCTTATCTTATTTGTACTTTTTAAGGAACTTTCATGTTATTTTGGTGAGCTTCTTTTTCTTATGGTTACCATTTTGATGGGTTTCTTAATGCTGATTATTGTATCCTATTAAATTATCAATCATTTTAAACTAACTTACCACGATTAAGTATAGTTTTTAAAACATAATAATGCAATGTTTCTCTCTTTTTTAAAATGATTTCCTTGATTAGTATCTATAAATTTCATAAATATGTTTTAGAAATTTACAGAAAATAAATTTTACACGTAAAGTTCAAAAATACATTATTTAAAATATTTTTGACATAACAAACATAAAAATTATTTAAACTACATGATATTGTTCTTTCCAAACAAAATAAAAAATCATATAAATAAAATTTAAAGTTTACGGAAAAAAAATCTAAAAGCATAAGAATTAAAAATTACTTCAAATTAGGCTTGGCACTACTAACAAAAGGGTAAAGCTCATACCTAAAGTTACAACCACTACCCATAACTCTAGCTCCTTGTTTACCATGCCAGCAATCTTGAAATTTCACGGCTAAGTGTCCAACACACTTTCGACAACTATTATTATATATGTCAGTCCTACACTGCACCATCCCGTACAACTTCTTCGTCCCGAACCTTGTATCCCCCGCGGCATACAAATAATCTTTGAGGGCTATACCCACCAAATTGTCGAGGAAAGTCATCCACTTCTCTCCAAACGAATCTACGTTCATTTTCTTCGCGTTGGACATACAGAAATCGTTATCTTTATCGAACTTTCCTTGAGGATCGAACGAAGAAATCTCGACAGTACATTGGTCATACCATATTATTGCCCCCTTATACCGCGGACATCTCCTACGAAGCTGTCATATACATTTTTGTCATATTAACGCCAAAATCAATATCAACATTGCATTGACTAATTTACATATAAGATATAATTTCTTGTCTATTATACATTTTATCGCTAAAATCTCTTTTCTATTATACATTTTATCGCTAACATGTAACCAAAACTGACATGTGTGTGCGCCTAAATTTATTCATGTAATAATGATATATGTAACAGCTAATCAAAAAATGATATATGATATATGTAACAGCTAATCGCGTTACCCCTGCGATGGCGGTGGCAAAGCAGGAGCGGCACTTGGACCCGTAGGAGTCCCCGCGGCACTGGTTGGTGACGCTGACGTAATCAGAATCATCACCAAGGCCCATCATGTCGTAACCGTGGGTAAAACCATCACCGCTTCCGATAGAGACTATGATAGTTTGGAGTTGTTTCTCATACCAACTTCCCGGCTTGTATCTTCCTTGTTTGGCTAAGCATTTGTGGTTCAAATAGGCATTGGTCATGTTCAAAGACGAAACGGTGCGCATAAAGACCAGTTGTGTGGCCACCATGGCCAAGATAGGGATCAAAAAGAAGCATGTCGATACGGGCGATGAAGAGTACATTGTTTTCGATTTTTGTGTGAGGTTGGAAGGGATTTGGATATTGAATGGAGATAAGTTTTTATAAAATATATGTAGTTTACAGTTTTGGTTACCATATACGAAAGTCTATTGATAAATTCAGTTTCTAGAAGAAATGTTTAGAGTTTGTAACGGAGATGAAAGAGAAGTTGGTATTTGCGGCCACAAGAGGGCCGAAGAAGAAGTAAAAGGTATGACTGAGTTCAAACTCTTACAATCACACGATTTGTACGGTGATGACCCGAAATGAAAAAAATATATATTATTTTCGAAATTTACCTAGTTTGACACAAATCTCGGAAAAAATAACTAGATTAACACTCAAATATTGTGGTTTACTAGAATAACATAATTTTGTGTTAAAAGACCAAATACCCATCTTATTTTCAATTCTATTAAAATAAACAAATTAACATATAATAATTAAATTAAATAGAAAACTAGAACAAAATAGAAAACGAAAAATAAAAAATTTTAAAAAATAGAAAACGAAAAAATTAAAATTAAAATTTTTTTATAATTATATACAACAAAAAATAGAAAAAAAAAACAAAAAAAAAATTAAAAAAATATATAAAACGAAATAAAAATGCAAAACGAAAACAAAAATAGAAATTGAAAAAAATAGGTATATATATCTAAAACAAACAAAAAAAAATTTAGTCATATATTAACAAGGAGACAGCCACACATGTGCCATTTAATATAAATAAGTTTGTCACGGTAAGAATATGTCTGTCATTACCTTACTATCCAGATTAAAATTCTATCTTCATCAATAAAACTGTCATAATACGACAGATTTTTTATAACCTATCTGAAATCCGTCGTGATATTAAAAAAATCTGTCATAACATAAAACATTTCGGTTGCGAGTATATGTCATTGTACTAATTTATATTTTTAAATAACAAATCTAGTATCACATTCCAGATTTTTGTTCAAAAAAAAAAATTATCATAACATAAAATAAATCTGTTATTACTAATAAGTCAAACTAGTAATTATTTTTTCATTAACAAATATGTTACATTATGGCAGATTTTTTTCAAAAAAATATAAATCTGACGCCACTGAAACAATAAATCTGTCATATATTTTCATAAATCTGTCAAAATTACAAAATTTTGTGGTGTTATCATAAAATAAGTCTGTCGTGGAGAAAAAATCTGTTATAAATTAAATATCTGTCGTAACCTATTTCAAGTAGGTCTGTGAAAAAAAAAAATCTGTCACAAAAAATCTATCGTAAACAAATAAGTCTGTCATATAAATTAAATCTGTCACAACTTATCCAACAGACTTTTCAAATAATTTTTTTTTCTAATATTTTTTCCCACGTTTTTATAATTTATTTAAAGGTAATTTTGATTTTTTTTTAATTTCTAAGAAAGAGAAAAAAAGGTATTATGGTCAAAAAAAAAAAAAAAACTCATTTAACCTCTAAATTTTATAAGACACTTTAATAATTAAACTCATAATTCGGATCAATCTAGTAAATTTTCTCTTTCTATAATTACATATTTAAGATTCCAATTTCCAACTTTCAGTTTCATCTAACGTCTAACTTCGAAGATGGTTAAGTCATGCCTAAGCTAACTAGCAATCATTATTTTCAGTAGTCCTACTCAAACAACAAACACTAATTAATCTACAGCTTCATTCTTCGAGCTAAACTAATGACACTACTTTTCGATTCTAAGAAATCTAAATTTTGAAACAATTCATGTTTCTGATGAGCTCAAACTTTGTTTACCTGATGAAACCCAGTTTCTGAGATCAGACTCAAATCCACCTCGATCGAGGAATACAAAAGCTCGAGTAGATTTAGGAGAGTACCAGAGACAAACATAGGAGCTACGACGGAGCCAAGAATCGTGTGAGGAAGCTATGGAGAAGAGTAAGTGACGGCGGCGCGTGGGAGATATAGCTAATGATCGTGCGAGTGAAGGAAACTGCGCGCGGCGGAGAGGACTGAAGGAGAAGAGGAGGAGGATGACGACGTAAACGAAGAGTAGAAGCAAGAAGAGGTTTCGGATTCGAATTCGATTTAGCGCCGGAGATTTCGTCGGAGCTAACATTTCAGAGGAGAGATAATCGGTTCTGGAGAGAGAAAGATCGGGTCGTCTCTTACGACTCGTGTGGTTCATTTTTTGTTGGCCTTAGTTTCTCGGCTGAGTCAACGGTTAGGTTTCTCGGGAGATTCTTTTAGTGGAAAAGTGTCAGTCGTCAGACACCGGCCGAGCTGGCTGCGTCGGACTGGTAAGTTTATTCAAAAGGTCGGTTTTGGTGGGTTTTTTTTTGTTAATGGGCTTAAAATATGGGCTCCAGTAATTGAGTTTTTTTATGTTACGTTATTTATTTATTTGGACCTACTGAGACTAATTAATTAAGCCTGGATTTATTAATTACCTTTGAAAAGCCCAACTAACTTGACCGACTGCACCGAGATTCGTTCTTTAAGTTGAGGCTGTTGAGCTTTTCCAATCCGGTTCGGTTTTCTAGATCTTCGGTTTATGAATAATGGTTTCAAAATAAACATGTAAACTAAAATGGATGGTTTGGTAAGAAACTTGGTTTTAGTCAAATATATTCTTAACTTACAAAGAAACTTCGGTTCTAAATCGATTTTTTACTGGTACGATCTAGATTCGGTTCCTTGGATATAGAAAAAAATGAAACTACTAGAACGTTTTCTGATTGAGTATTTCGGTTTGAATCAGATCGATTTATTCGGATGGAATACCCTTAAAGCGAAACTATCCAAGAATTAAAACTTTCAAATTAAAGGTAAGTTTGAGTAAAAAACATAACCAAGAAAAAAATAAAAACTAGTGTTCTAACAACAGTTTAGGTAGGGTGGGTGCATAGGTATTAAGCCATTAACGTCATACACTTGTTGCATCTTTTGCTCTAAGCTTTATCTAATCGATAGAAGTAATTCAGTGGTTTAAATCGCTTATGAACATATATGTTTGGAGAAGTTGGAATAGAGTGAAAAACATAAGATTTTTGTTAATGTCAAATAAGTTATTACAAGGGACTTATAACATTTAACAACATACTCAAACTCTATACTTTTATGATAAACAGTTTGTTACATTACATGCTATAATATGGCTTATGGTTTTCCATTTTCTTGGAAAACAGTTTTACGAACACAAATGGTCTAGACTCCAACAAATTGCTTTAGACATAACTCATAAGACATCATATTCATGATATCACCGTCCAAGTAAGTTTCTTCAACTTCGATCAAAATATTTTATAAGCTAGCCAGGGTTATAGTTACGCGTAGGCCTGGGCGTTCGGTCAGTTCCGATCAAACCGAACCGATCAAACCGAGATATTCGGTTTGCGGCACCAAATTTTAGAAGGGAAGTAAACCGATCAGTAAGATTATTTTGGGATTTCGGAATTCGGGTTACTCGGTTCGGTAATCGGTTACCGATCGGTTTATTTGGTTTAGGGGAACAAGATATAAAAACTAAAAACCCTAACCTAATTCATTTCATCAATACTATCTAATCTCTTTGGCGAGCCTCCTTCCACTCTCCTCTCTCCTTTTACGATCTTGTTCTTCTTTCTTCTTCTCCTTCCTTCTTTTCTATATACTCTTCTGCATCTTGATCTTCTTCGTTTTCGTCTTTCTCCTCATCTTCTCTTTGTTTCTTCTAAATCATAAGTTTTGATAGGCACTCAACAACGATAACTACTACCAAGAATTTCCCTCAACCAATCCGCCGTCGATGAACTTACTGACATAAGGTTCGTTTTCGGATCTAAGTATTGGTGTTAGTTGATTGTTTTCGTAAGTCTCGTTTTTTCGATTTCTAGATCCGAGACTTCGTGATTATTTCGACTGATTTTAGTTGTTTTCTTTCTTGTTTCAGTGATATTGCGAGAGACAGACTCATCCTCGTTCAACACAACCTCGATTAAAGCTAGAATAAGACAGTCGGAGCTTACCGTCGCTGAGACCGCCGCGCACAGTCGATCATGCAGCCACACTTATTTTTGTCAAAACCCTAATATTTTATTGGGTTGGGCTATAAACTGTATGTTGGGTTTTTGTTAAATGTATATTGGGCTTTTTATCTAATTTGTAATGGTTTTTTTAATTGGATTTGTAATAGTGCAACTGCAAATGTCTTTTTTTTAACAAGTAAACCGAAATTGAAACCAATTCGGTGGAATTTTTTAAAAACCGAATTTTCCCCAAACCGAATAACCCGACTCGAATAACCCGACTAAACCGAACGCCCATGACTAGTTACGCCTATACATGCGTAAATGTGATAATATGTCCGACATACTATATTTTAAAAAATAAAATCTGAATAATAAATTGGCAAAAAAAATAATGGTCACATACTTTTTGGAAGATTGGACGGCTAAGGTCTCGATCGTACCAACAGGCAACAATAAAGAACAGACAGAAAAATCTGAGGACAAAATTAGAAAATATAAAAGCTTTTGGATTTTGAATCAATATGATCCACACAAGTGGACTTACGCATCAACACTGAATCAACTTGTGGACAACAACATCTCTTCTTTTTTTTCCCCATAACGTATCAAATATAATAATGTTCTTCGTCACATTATTGTTTCAGTCCGTCTAATAACTCTTCGTATTTTTTATCACGTTATTTTAAATTTTGTAGATGAATATCGTATCTTTTGCCTAAATTTTTTTTTTATATATATAAATATAAGATCTTTTGTTTAATTTGGTAGCGTGATCTTAGATATGAGATATAATTTTCTTTAATAAAAGATAGACATGAAAGAGTCTAATATATTCTTATGTATTAATACTCTCTTGTGCTTTTTTTTATAAAAGTCTTTCTTTTCTGGAGCTTTTGATATTTCTTTATTTTTATTTTTTTTTTATAACCGTGGTCATCCCAAAGGTTTTCTAGGCCCAAAGACTAATCTACGAGGCCTTGCATCCGGGTACGCTTTATCCCATCGTTAAGGGAGCGGCTAGGTGGCCAACCCGAATCGAACCCAGGAGGGGGAACTCACAGCCGTGAGCCCTTTACCACTTAAAAAATCTTTGAAACGTCTCTTTGATTCAGAATTGAACCAGCATGAAAAATGCCTACTCAAATTACATTACATAATGATGCCAAAGTTTTTATTTGGTCCGATTAATCTTCAATATTAAACATATGCAGTGGAAGAATCTAAATAACATTAATTAATATCATTCGCGATATTTGTGAATATTATATATACATTATAATTATCATTATGTTCACGCAATTTTTGTACAAGTTTATAGAATTTGAGTTAACGAAATGTATGACTCCGATCATTACATGTGTAAACGATGGCGACATATATGATGTGTTGCTTATATTTTAAACGATCTAATCTTATACTTTTGGTTAAAGGGATTCAAGAATATATTTTACTAACATAAATATGGGTTTAACTGTCTACTTTGCCAAAAGAAAGTAAGAAACTTAAGTATTCAAACGAATAGGCTTCAAATAATTATTTCATTTCGTCCTATTGGATTAGGTATTATCATATGTTTTAAGAATTGTAGTATGTAATTATCTTAAATATTAAGTTGATTTCAAAACAGATTAATAAATTAATTTAGTAAGAGGATCTGGCGAATATATTACAAACACTGTTTACGAATAATGTGATGTTAACTAATAATTCGAATATTATTGTGATGTTAAAATGCTTCTCGGTTACTTATATTCGTACTAGTAAGCAATCACACGCAATGTATATAGCATTTCTAATTATCAAACCTTTTAAATTAACTTAATTAATGGGGTAGCTTTCACTAATAAAAAACAAATAAATGACTGATAAATCAACCCAAATTTAAATCTTTAAATGTGAACCATACAAGAAGTCCTCTTTGATTCTTCTGCTAGTAAGCTTATATAATTAATTAAGAGTTGACTGATTAACCACCACACAATGTCCCAAAGACGACCAATAAAAACGATATTTGATATCACCCTAAATTTTAGCCGTTATTTATGCGTACCCCCTATATATCCTCCACTAATCACTTGTAGTATCTTTTATTTCTAAACAATCCTTAATTTTTTTTGTTTACAAAATTGTCACAAAATTCAATAGAACAAAATCTTAAATATTGTTGGTCTTTCCAAAATCAATCTAGTTTTCTCATTAGTATGATATATATTGTCCGTTTTAGACCAATAACTAAATACGCATGATGCAGCGGATTGCGGCTGGTTGTGAAAAGCATTTCTGGCAGATCAAAGAGCATGTGTACCTGTGAGATAGAGGATTCGCATAGTATACGTGGAAGTCGCAGTTTTGGCATAGTTTAGCCAAATCGGATTTGCAGTAAATCACTGTTTGTGAAGTTGCACAGTAGTTACACTTTGGCTCCATACTTGAAAACATAATGAACAAGATAAATTTGTAAATTTAAAGAAAAGTGTATATATAGAAAAGAATCTGACGTTTATGTTGTTTTTTGATAAGTAAAACACACGTAAAGATCCTGCGCAACATAAACACACAATATACGCACCGATTATTTTTAGGTTTCTTCCCAAAAAATCTCATAATAATTGAAATAGAAATTGATTTATTATATATTAGACTGTTATTATTCTAATAATTTTCCGATGTCGGACGTTGTTCGTATGTATCTCACATAAGAAACATATGAGATAATATGTAATTATGTACCATTTTATTATTTCTAAAATCATTTTTGGTTTAATTCTAGAAACTTAACTATCATGTAAATTTACTATCATATAACTAAACTCGCAATCTTTCATATATGTTTATGGGAAATCGATTGTATTAGTTAACTTTTGTACCTTTAGGTGCATCTGTTTGAATCTTAAACTCTTAATAGTTTGGTTTTTTATCGTACATCGTAATCACATTACAATAGAATACAATTAACAATTTAACATCATATCATCCCCCAAAAAAATAAAACCACAACAGTCAATAATGATTCATATTTGATGTGGTGGGTGATATAAACCAAAAGAAGTCGTACTAGTACTAGGAGTTTGTTTCGAAAACTTGAAAGTTGTGCGTCCAATATGAGGACAAGAGATCGCTTGGAGGAGAAACGTTTTTAATTTTGAAATTAACGATTTTGCCATCATAAGGGCATTTACGTCAAAATAACAGGGCATGATTCATCCACGTGTACAACAACAAAACAACACACATCATTATTTTATGACAAAAAATAAAAATCTCCATTTAGTTTTAAAGAAACAAGATTCCTATATAAATGTATAACGTTTTTCCTATAACAAATCTTCTTTCCTCAATATCACTCACAAGAAGAAGAGAGAGAGAAAGATTTAGAAAAATGTGTAGAGGCTTGATCTTTAATGAAGAAGAGAGCAGAAGAAGCCACGGTGATGGTTGCCGGAGTCTTTGCACGAGACCGAGTGTTCCGGTTAGGTGTGAGCTTTGTGGCGGCGATGCCTCCGTGTTCTGTGAGGCTGACTCGGCGTTTCTCTGTAGAAAATGTGACCGGTGGGTTCATGGAGCGAATTTTCTAGCTTGGAGACACGTAAGGCGCGTGCTATGCACTTCTTGTCAGAAACTCACGCGCCGGTGCCTCGTCGGAGATCATGACTTCCACGTTGTTTTACCGTCGGTGACGACGGTGGGAGAAGCCACCGTGGAGAGTAGAAGTGAACAAGATAATCATGAGGTTCCGTTTGTATTTCTCTGATTTTTAGTTTTTTTTTGGTGTAAGATATAAATATGCCTAGGGTTTTTATGCAATTTTCTATTAAGAAAAATCTGGGAAATTTAATTTTATGAAGCTTAGAATTTTAAAAAATGGGTATTGACTAAAATAGCAAAAAATATCTGCAATAGAAAGGAAAGAAAGAAGGATCCTTTGTAATTGAGTGGAGTATATTCCTCGAATCTTTTTGAATTTTTCTATTATGCAGTGATTGTAACCACAACTAAAATCCATAAAAGAAATTTCCTGTAAAAGAATAAAACAAAATCCATCAAAAAATTGCTGTAAATAAAATAAAATAAAATAAAATCACCAAACTCAATGCTGAAGCCGGATTAAATTAGAGCGGCATATAGAATTATAGACTGTCTGTTTGGAATTTTATTATACATTTATTTGGGTTTCTATTTCTGACATCAATTTGGTTTCTTTTTGTTGTTGTTGTGTTTCTCACTACTTCTTTGGACTTATCATTTTCCTTAATTAGGTAGATAAGAGCAACCCTAATGAATGAGTCCTTAAAAGGATCCTTAAACATATTTTAATCTTACTTTACAACAATTTTTAAGTTAAGAAATTTTGATGAATCCTTAAAATTTTCTTTGTCCAATGGTGAGTCCTTAACTAGGTTTCTTAAAAAAAATATATTTTTTTTAAAATGAAAAATTATAAACATTTTTATATGATAAAACTTAATAAATATTACAAATTCCTAAGAATTTTAAACATAGAAAGCATAAAAGCAAAAAAAAAAAAATACAAAAAAAAAAACGGAATAACGAGTAGTCGTTAGCTTAGTTTATGCCAAATTGTCGCCAAATATGCTCAACCAAATCAGCTTTCAGTTGTTCATGTTTAGTCCGATCTCGTATTTCGGATCGAGTGGCCATCATATTACCCAGATTTGAAGGCATTTCTGTAGAGTATGTGAAATCCACTTGTGAAGATGTGGTTGATTCCGGGTGTTGGAATTCGGTGACATCAAACTGAGTGTACCCATCTCGTTCATCCTCTACTATCATATTATGAAGAATTATACATGCTCGCATAATCTTTGCTATTTTTACCTTATCCCAAATAAGAGCCGGATTTTTTACAATGGCAAATCGAGCTTGCAAAACTCCAAAAGCACGTTCAACATCTTTGCGGCAAGCCTCTTGATTTGTAGCAAATAAAGAAGCTTTTTGACCTTGTGGAATAGAAATAGATTGGATAAATGTAGCCCATTTAGGATAAATGCCATCTGTGAGATAGTAAGCCAAATGATAGTCGTTCCCGTTGACTACGTATTTCACTTTCGGAGCTTTACCTTGTAATATATCATCAAAAACTGGTGATCGATCAAGAATATTTATATCGTTTAAGGTACCTGGAGGTCCAAAAAACGCGTGCCATATCCAAAGATCTTGGGAAGCAACAGCCTCTAAAACGATTGTTGGTTTGCCGGATCCACGTGTATATTGCCCTTTCCAAGCTGTGGGGCAATTCTTCCACTCCCAATGCATACAATCTATGCTTCCTATCATCCCGGGAAATCCACGTCCCGCTCCAATATGGAGTAGTCGTATAAGATCTTCTCGTGTGGGTCTTCTTAAGTACTCATCTCCGAACAAATAGATGATTCCATCAACAAAATGGTGTAAACATGACATCGAAGTACTTTCACCAATTCGTAGATATTCGTCAACCGCATCAGCCGCATGACCATATGCCAACATACGAATTGCTGCTGTAGCCTTCTGTAGTGCCGAGAAACCGAGCCTTCCGGTAGCATCTCTTTTTTGTTCAAAGAATGGAACTTCATTGGAGAGTCGATCAACAATACGCATGAACAAGTGCTTGTTCATTCTGAAACGGCGTCGAAATATATGCGGAGGGAATGTTGCATCTTCAGAGAAATAGTCGTTCCATAACTGGATGTGACCTTGTTCACGCTCTCTTTCAATATATGCTCGTTTTTTTTTTTTCTTGACTTGTTGTTGTTGACGATCACCATAATTCTCTAATGTTTCGTCGATATATTGATCAAATTTATCGTTCAACATTTCGTTGAGATTATAATTTGAAGAAGATCCCATTTTTCTAAAAAAGAATCGTAGTAAAAAAGATAGTGTTTTGTAGAAGAAGAAGAAGAAGAATAAGAATTGGTGATGGTGTTTTGAAGAAGGAGAAGATTAAGATTGTTTTCCCCAAACGATTGTTTTATAGAGAAATAGTGTTTTGGAGAAAAGAGATATGTTGTTTTGGAGAAGAAGAAGAAGAAGAATAAGATTGTTTTGGGAAAGAAGAAGAGGAGTGTTCGGTTTAAATATGAAGAGAAACTAAAGAAACATAATTTGAAAATAAAAGTATCAAACAAACTAAATTACAAGTCTGAATATTGTCGGCACAAAAATACAAAATACTAGTGTCATGTGTAGAAGAGATGTCGACACAAAAACACAAAACAACTCTGTCTCACTATTGTCTATTACAAGTGAAGTCGGCACTAAATCACAAAAGCATTGGTGTCACATGTGTCTCTTACTCGGCTCACCTGCATAATTGTTAATAAGAGAAGTCATCAGACCAAACACATCTAACATTCAAGTTAGTTTAGTTTCAGTTGAAGACAAGCATACTTAGCTTAAACAGAAATCATTTCATTAATAGCAAAACACATTCAGACATACTTCAAACATAAACTAAAGACATAGTTAAACTTAAAACAGATAATTAAAACATACTTCGCTTAAATAGAACATAAAAACAAACTTAAGCTTAGGACAACAAATCCATTATGAGCTTGTTCTTAAGAGTCATCTCTATGTTAGTTAGAGGCTCTGTTTTTAGCATCAAAGTGTCTAGCAGTTTAGTCCTACTAAGCTTCTCCTTAACATTGATTAGCTTCTCTTTGAAAACTAAATCTTTCTCCTTAATCTCCCAGATACAATGTAACTCCTTCAGAGTCTTGTCTTCATCTCCAATTTGACTTGTTGTCTTGGCTTTGGCTTTGGCTGTGGCTTTGGCTGCCTTAACACCAGTGGGACGAGGCTCTTCCTCGTCAATGTTGACTGGCATAGAGCATGAGGCCTGTGCAGAGCCGTCCTCAAACCTCTTCCTCTTTGCTGACCCACTGTCTTTACTTGTTGATGATCCGCACCACTTCTGATCATGGCGAAGCTCCCTCCAAGCATGCTCAAGTGTGAACTTCGCCTTGTGATCATTGTAGAAGATCTGGTGAGCCAAGTTCACCACATCATTCTCATTCTGGCCACTGGTCTGCTGTTTGGTTGCAGCCTCATAGCTTCCTACAAACTTACAGACTCCCTCATTTATCTTTGCCCACCTTTGTTTACAGCATAATGGAGCTCTCTTTTGCAGACCTCTCAGCTTGGGACTTGCTGCAAAGTAGTCTGCAATGCGTTGCCAGAAAGCTGTGGCTTTTTGCTCATTGGAGACAACAGCATCCTTGGAGGTGTTGAGCCAGGCACTAATGAGAATCACATCTTCTGTTGGTGACCATTTACGTCTTGATTTGCGGTCTGCAACAGGCTCTTCAGCAGGCGTTGGAGCTTGATTTGGGTCAATCCAAGGTGCACTAAATGAAAAACCAGCATACTGATTTGGTGGAGGCATGGGGTTATCTTGTTGAGAACTTAAGAGGTTTAAAAAGCTTGAAGGATTGGTATATGGATTCCTTGAATCCATATCAAAATGTTTCTGGTTTGTGTTAAAAGGAGAAGATAAGAGCTGTGGTTTTTGCTTTAAGAAGACAATGAAGAAAAGAGGATTATGGTTCAATGTTTAATAGAGTTGCGGATGTTAAAGAGGAGTGAATATGGTTAGGTTTGAATTAACTAGAGTTGAAGCTATTAAAAAAGCTTCAGTCTTAAGTTGAAGTGATGGTTAGCTGTTAACTTTAAGCAATGAATGACATACACTTTAACCTACTCTCAACCATGCAAGATAACAGAGACTTTAACCTATTTTAACAGAGATCATAACTATGATAATGATCATATCTAACCTAATCTAATCACAGAGAGCAATCAATCGAAGAGATGCAATCAAAGAGAAGCAATCAATGACATACTAATAACTATGATTTAGACTCCTCAGACTTTAACCTACAACAAGTCATAATCATTTATCACAATGCATTCATTTAAAAACTGAACTCTAGATTCTTGATTCATTTATCAAATGATGGTTTATATTAGTCAAGTTTTAAATCTAGATTCTGCATTGTTGGACAGACTCAACTACTTTTTAAATTACATTAGGAAACACAAACACAAACACAAAGACAATGTTTAATAGAGTTTGAAATCAAGTTTTAAATTACTTCGAAATGGATTATAGTACAGAAGCCAGAACAACACACATACCTGACCACCACGATTTATTCTCTGAGAGTTAGGAAACACAAACTTCAATTCCTGCAACAGAAACCACACAGTCAAAGGTCATAAATCAAAGAAAAGGCACAAATCACTAACTTTGGTGGATCAGCAGATTTTTTTACACGAATCAAGATCAAATACAAAACTTTAATCTCAGATTATGTATTCAATAACCCAAATTAACAGATTAAGAGACTCATTATCTATTCAAAAACCCAAAATTGCGTTTACCAATCAAAAACCCTAATTTCTAGCAAAACAAATCTCATATCACAAACCCTAATTTTGTTAACATCTAAATAACCCTAATCAAATCATACAATAAAAAATATACAGAGAGATTCGTACCGTGAGGAAGCGTTTGGAGCCACTAGAATCGCCTTTCTCTCCGATTTAATTTTCAGAACCTATTGATTAGGTCAACGAACTACTGTTGGTGACCACGCCGACGGTGGAAATGAGTATCACGGCTTACTGTGTACAAAGGCTTCGCCATTTACTTCCGATTTGATAATCAAAATCGCCGGAATTGAAGATTTGGTGAGTTTCGCCGTCGGAGAAAACAAAAAGAAGAGAGAGAGGGTCGAGAAGAGAGAGAACTGAAACGCGAAAGAACAATTGTTTTTGTTTATCTCACAATTCTTGCCAATAAAATGATGCCACGTAGCACCTCTTGCAGCAACAAAAAAACCTTAAATTAGGAACGTACCTTGGCTTTTATTTATGTTTGGATTTATTTTTGGGGCTTATATTACAAGAAACTATTGGTAGAACCTTTAAGGTTCTCCCATTGTTGTTGCTCTAAGAGCTATAATAATTAATAACTAGACTTTTCACAAGTGAAACATCTTCTTAATGCAATGCTAAACGCGTGCTCTGTACCACCTTTATACAGAGAATGAAGCAGATTGTAATCACTGCTACTTTATTTATCAAAAACAGCTAAGAAATTTATTTGTATAAAAGGAAAAAACCCAACTTATAAAATATCAAAAACAAAGATAAATATAAAGGCGCAAAATTACGATATTTTCACCATTTTGGCTTCCACCATCTTTGTTTTCTCCAACGTTCCCATGCCTCAGCATGTTGATTTATTCGATCCATACAAACTATACACAAATAAGACAAACCATTACATTACTTTTCCGACAAGAAACTGTTTTTACCAACCTTATCATCATCATGAAGCATGATTTGTGTCGGTTTGGGAAAGAAGACTGTACATTATTTTTGTAAATTTCAATTGTTTGTCGTCGGTGATGATGGGTCATAATCATAATTGTCACCAGCTTTCACAAATCTTCCTTTCACTCTTTTCCTCGTGTCAGCTCTTGCTTTGCGCGATGCATATCGAATCTGTTTCCCAAAACTATAATTCAAAAAAAAAAAAACACAATATTAAACTTGATCCAAGTTAATATAAACTATGTTTTGTAATGATTAGTAATAAACTTACGAGCGCTTTAATTTCTTCTCCATGTATCTCAACTTAGCTTGGGTTCTTGCTTGTGGACAACTAACTTCAAGATTCGATTCCCATGGTGCTTCACTCGTTATAAACCCTGGAGGCATCCCACAATCCTGGTAATCAGCTGCATTGCTTTCACCTGTGACGTTGGAGATGTTAAGCGATGGATGGATTTGTCCGAACAAGACAGGTGATAGAGGAAGCGGAAGTCCAGTGTTGATGTTCATTTGTTGTCCTGGTGACGATGCCTGAAAACAAAATAACACAATTTTCATTAGAAAATTTCTTCAGGTACTAGAAACCTGGTCTATAGTAAAGTTTGAGGCGGTAACGGATGTGTTGTCTATAGTAAAGTTTGAGGCGGTAACGGATGTGTTATTCTTGTCGATCAGTAGGCAATTTGGTACTGTATGGTCCGGTTCTATGGGTTCTTCTAAAGAACATCCGATAATATCATCTCCAACGTCAAAGTTTAACGGCGCATTGTCAAAGTTAAGCCCTTCACATAAATCTTCTTCGCCTTCTTCAAGTTTAAGAACCAAATCAGGATATCCCTGGAAATACACACACAAATAAGAACCATATTGTTCATCAAGAACTTAAGCAACACTTTTAATTCCTCTATATATTACCTTAGATTCCACGGAAAAGAAAGACAATTGATCACTGAAATTCTGAGTGACATTGAAGCTGTGTGGCACCATGGAATAAGGGGAACCGATCAAACCGTCTAATTCGTTGATTTTCGCCATTCCAAACATGGTATTATTGGGATCATTCAAGGGCAAAGAACCAACAAACGGACTAACCAAACTAGAGACAGAAGGTTCAAGAATTGAAGACCACATTTTGACAAAATCTGTTGGAGAAGGACAACCAGAGAAAGGGTTCAACCTCTGAACTCTGTGTCCTAAATCCGAGCAGTTGCTTGCGTGCCAATGACATCTTTGGCAATATGAAACCTTCTCACCGAGACAGCGGATTACGGCTGGCTGTGAGAAGCATTTCTGGCAGATCAAAGAGCGTGAGTGTCTATGAGATAGAGGATTCGCAGAGTGTACGTGGAAGTCGCAGTTTTGGCATAGTTTAGCCAAATCGGATTTGCAGTAAATCACTGCTTGTGAAGTTGCACAGTGGTCACACTTTGGCTCCATACTTGGACACATGATGAACAAGATAAATTTGTAAATTTAAAGAGTCTGACGTTTATGTTGTTTCTTGATAAGTAAAACACACGTAAAGATATGATCCTGCACAAAATAGATGCACGAAGATTTCATATGCAAATCATTGAAGGAAAATTATGATTTTGGAATTTCAGATCGTAAAATATAGATGCATGATAGGGTTTTGGGTAAAACACATTAAATTGCTAGAAAATGTCGAAATATTTTACGTTTCGAATAGAAACACATGCATGTTTTTTAAAAGCTTCTATACGGAGGAAGAA